GGTGTACCACTGCTGACATTACCCCGACATTTCATATAGACCTCTGTATTGCATGTTGACATGGGTCGACACGGCCCCAACACGTGACAACACATGTTAGATGATGTCATCGACCTGAGTGACCACAGAAAGGTTGATTCGGAGCTCTTGCGATACTTGAGAATTGATTTAGTATATATTGAAATGGACAGTTCAGATTGATTTTGAAATAGCATCCAAAATGAAGGACTTTCGAGGCTATAAAGCCTTTTTTCCATTTTCTTCCAATAGTTTGGATTTGGGGGTGAAGATAATGGATACGCAGATTTTGAATTCTCAAAATCACCCAAAACATGGAGAAATAAGGGGGCAACACATGCTTTTGGCAGAGGCTGGAAATTCACCAGGTGCTTTTTCCTAAAAACAATTTGGCTCCTTAACCAGTCTCATTCTCAAACCCAACTAAGTACTTTTTCTCTAAGTATAAGAACAAATTGTACACTTGTTCCCTCAGGCAAAATACCTACTCCATAGGGTTAATTTGAGATTTACATAGAATCACCCAAATAATAAATTCATTAAAGAGTGTTATTGAACACAGTCTACATCCAATTCAACCGTCTGATTTTTCGAAAGCAGTCAGATTTCTAGAAGGTGTTTTCAATTTTTTAACCAATTCAATCTGGCAACTACAGTCCCAAAATTTGAGGTCCTAAACATACTCCTACTCGGGGTTTTGCCCAGGGGCGCAAATATACAATTTGCTCCTGCAAGAACATATAATCTTATCTCTCCATAACTCCATTGAAGACCAATTTAATGGAGAGTAAGTATTTAGCACATTTGATGAGGAGTAAACATAAGCATCTATTAGTTTTTCATAAGTAACCAATAGTTTCTCAAGGGATAGTCCAACTGACAAGTTGGAAGAATCACTACTACTGTTGTTCTTTATCATCCCATCTTGTAACAAAAGGTAATCTGTTATTTTTAGGTTTCATAAGTTCTTAACTAGATCATCCTCTAGAACAAGACAAGCTCCCTATAAAAATACAAGCCACTAAAAACTGGATATGATCTCTTAGAAGATTCACAAAACAAAGTGTTGGTTCTCAACCAATGGGAAATTAACCATACAGCACTGTCCTATGGATGCAGCTATGGTCATGGGTAGGAAAAGAGAGCCAAAAGAGAGAGAGAGAGAGAGAGAGAGAGCTTTTGCTCTATTGGAAAACACTCGTGATGAAGAAAGAGTAATGATAATATCCAAAACACGACCAGAAGATCAGAACCATTGTTTAAAAAGTCAGACCCAGGCTTCAATTTACTAGGGTCTGACCCAAGTCCGCCTTGGGCAAGTCCAAGTCGGACCTGGCAATTTTTAATACGAACAATTGAAAAATCAGTAGACTCAGCCGATTTCGGGGTTTTCCAGCCCAAAATCACAGGTCAGGGCAAGTGATCTTCAAACATTGATAAGAACAACGCACATCCCTACCCCCAAAATACTGATTCATTGTAAAGCAATGCGAGTCATAATGAAAAAAGATGAAAGGGGCCAAATGCAACAGCAAACTACCCACAAGCCAACCATCAAGCTAAACCCCCATTAACTTCAAGATTTAGCAAAAAGTTCATATGACCAGGACCCATTTCAATAATTTGTTTGGATAGGTCAGCTGGGGTCAAGAATTACAAGCTTTTCCACTGGCCGGGTCAATTCAATGGTGAGCATGCAGGTCACATGGTCCACTGAGGTCATCATCATCTTACACACGAATACAGAATAGCAACCACCCAATACATGACATGACCCATGTGGACTGTTCTACTCTTGCCATCCATTGCATCAGACCATAGTGACCCGCTGGACTATCATTTATCATATTCCATACCATTATGATGCACGTTTTCTTCATTGTTTGGCTTTGAGAGGCAAGGGTCCTTAAGAGACTAAGACAAACTTTCTAAACTAATCTTAAAACCCTCTTCTCCAAAACTATAGCTATTTAAGTAGATACAAAATCCTCGAATGAGGCCCGCCCCCCCCTCCTTCCCCCCCTTCTTTTTTCTGGGGGTGGTTTTTATTGCAGGGAGCGAAGGAGCCGAGTCAGTTCTTGTGTGAGGATCACGGACTTTTTAGCACTTTGATTCCTTTCCCTTTCCTACGATCCCTATGCCTGAATTTTCCAAAACCTTACTGTGCAATAAGCCAACAATGCCTGCTACCAATGTTCCAACAATTGAAGGTTTCAATGATCTCATCCACGTAATCTCTAGTGAAGGCCAGAGAAGCTTACAGTTTCATTTAATTTTGACTTGACCATGTTTGCTAAAGCATTGAACTATACAGGACCACAGACCACTAAGTGAAATCTGTCCCTCTCAGGTCCTCTTCCACAATCCTCACTGTGTTTGTTCATCTAATACTCTAATGTGTAGTATCAAAGACATTTCAGGCTCCTTCACAACCTAGAGCTCATGGATCTAATGTCCACTGTTCATCCAATACTCTAATGTGCAGTATCAAAGACATTTCAGGCTCCTTCACAACCTAGAGCTCATGGGTCTAATGTCCACTCAAAAGCCTATTTTGCAAAGTCAGACAATCTACTCTCTTCTCTTCACCTAATGGGTCCAATGCCAGACCATACCCCTCACCATGATATTAATCCCATTTCCTCCAGCCATATTGTTTCAAACCAAATGTTGTGCTCCTAGATCCTCAATTTCATGAAGCAAATAGGCCAAATGTCTGAGATAGCTTTTGATAAATGCTGTTAAACAAGATAGGCTTGGACAGACATTGTCATGTTGTGCACGATATCGACTTGACAAAAACTTTATGGAGGTACATAATCATTCAGATTGAGATGGAGAATGGAGATATATCAGTGTTACCTAACCTCTAGTCGATACTTTATCAAATTGCTTCGTTTGGGTGGGATGTATCTAACATGAAAGTGGCTGGGCAAAACTAATTGCTTGTCCAGGTAGATCATGGACACCCTGCTTCCAAGGGGGCGAGTCCAATAAAAGAGTGATGCTTGATGGACTCATAGAAGTGCCATCTAGCTATTTATTCCATTGCCAAATCTCTCATAGAGAAACCCACTCAACCGTGTTTATTTTACCACTGCCAATTCCCTCATGGAGATTTTTACTTGCATTAGGATCACCTCCCAAATACCATAGCCCATTTGGTTTTCAATAAGTTTCTCTCTTATTCCTCAACTATGCTCACAACCTTAGTGACAATTATCATTTTTGGCATGTTATCTGAGGGGTACTTTATTGGATTATTACCAACTGCGGTTTCTTATCAGAGACTACCAGGGAATGTACCGTAGTTTTTAGTCATTTAAATTATGTTATCTTTACGGTATAATAATGTTTCATTGAAAATTAGTACACATATAGTTGAAAATATAAATCTGAAAGAACAAATATTAGGGAATAAAAATTTAAAGCCATCAATGCATGTCAAATTCAAAATTAAAACCGAAAATTAAAAGATTATTTTAAATCCTTTTATAATTCAAATATGTTTCAGACACTTACTACCCATGTAACTTGATTTTATTAACTTACTTCTTTTCAGACAAGATATCCACTGTATATCCCTTATATTTACAAAGTTCCCCCATTTTCCTGCTTTACATTTATTTTTGATGTATTTATTTTCATTATTTAAAATCTAAAAGTGGAATCCAGTTAGTATTGCAGTTCCTTTTATCGAGATAATATCAGGGTGTCTTAACTTAGTGATAAATTCAATTTACCGAGATCATATCACATATATTATCGTCACAGAAACTTATCGTGATAAAAACCAAGAAAATTGAATTTACCAGCAATAATTGTCAATAATATCACTACTACTCCCTGGATTGGATCTACTAGGCCTCACAGACTGGGCTCAACAACCAGCAACCACCAACAATCCTCACCCTCCAAACACATCCCTAGCAAAATTTGGTATCTGATTACCATTATTTGATGATTTCAAAATCATCTCTGATTCCACAACACCCAAATGCCTTTAGCACTTCCTGATGAACACTGCATAGCCTTTAGCACTTCCTTATGAACACTGCATAGCCAACTGATATTTCTGATATATTAATGTTCAGGCAACTCTCTATCCTCCAAACATTGTCTCCTGAACCAAAACTACAGCAATCTCATTACTTCCAATCCATCCCCTGAAATGCATCCTTTTGTTCGAGGCATTTAGGTCTAGAATGTTCCAACTTATCCCATCATGCTCTCTTGTTTTTATTTTTTATTGTCTTGTTTCACTATCCCAACTGATCCTTGGTACCACCAAATCTTCCCTCCTAGCTTCTTGCTCATGGTTGACTCCCAATTCACCCATATTTTCATGAAAAGGAATGCCAATCACTTCTATTACCATCTCCGTCATCCCCCCACCAAGACCTGTTACATCGCCCTTTTCCCCATCTCCCTGTAACCTCACAACCTCATTTGCCTTTCCCTCCCACTCTAATTACTGTCCACTCAGTGGAGCTTACTATGGTATGAAAACAAAAAATCTGATTTAAACAAACTATCAATGCTATGAACATGCTGCAAACCTTCCAAAAGTAGCTAAGAACAAATAAGAAAGCAAAGCTTATTAACATGACACCTCAAGAACAATGACAAAAATATTTTATAATTAAAAAGCTAAAAAATTCAACAGAAAGTAATTTACCAAATGCTCTAAAAGTACAGCAACCTTTCTTCCCCTGAATTTTTCCCCCTCAAAAATTCAGGGGTAATAAACAAGTCACAACTCCAAATGGGACCTCAATTAGAGCTCTTCGTTCAGCAGAAGAATTAGCAACCAAAATCAAAATCAAAGTTAAATAAAAGAACAATGAAAACCATTTCTTTTGGCATATTAAAGGTTCAAAATAAAAATAAAAAGGTTAACTACCCAATGCTCTACAGGAACGTTACAGCCTTCCCCGAAAAATTCAACAACACCGAACAATCAAACCAAATACTTAAACTCATAAGTTTAAAGCCATGGCACCTCAATCAATACCAACGCTCTAAAAGTACTACAAATTCCAATTACAAGGGAACTAATAACAGTGAGCAAGCAAAATCAAGATTCAACTGAAAAACACAGCAAAATCATTTTTTTCTTCTGCTTATCAGTAATTGATAAATCATGAACTGCCCATGGTTACAAATGTATTTCTACATCCTTGTCCACAAATTGAAAAAAGAAAATGATAAAAATCAAAACCATGGCACCTCATTTGGAGCCCTCTTTATCATTTGCCTTCCCCTCCAATGATGAAGAAGACGGCGCGGATCCCACCGCATCTGACACCAACCACACCGGTCTCCGCTGAATTACCTCATCCACAATCCCGAACTTGCATGCCTCCTCCGCCGACATGAAAGTGTCCCTCTCCAGACGCTGCCTTATCACCTCTGCATCCTGCCCTGTGTGCTTTGCATACAAGGCATTCAACCTGTCCTTGGTCTTCAAAATCTCCTCTGCGTGTATCGCGATATCGCTCGCCTGCCCCTGGGCCCCACCCGAAGGCTGGTGCACCATTATTCGTGCGTTTGGGAGTGCCCGCCGCTCTCCTGGTGCCCCAGCCGCCAGCAGGAACGATCCCATCGAGGCCGCCTGCCCAACGCATATCGTCCTGATCGGAGAGTGAATATACTGCATAGTGTCATATATGGCCAGGCCCGCAGTCACGACCCCGCCAGGGGAGTTGATATACATGTTTATCGGTTTCGAGGGGTTCTCCGATTCGAGATATAGGAGCTGCGCCATCACCAGCGAGGCTGTGTCGTCGGCGATGGGACCTGTGATGCACACGATGCGCTCTTTCAGGAGGCGAGAAAATATGTCGTAGGCCCGCTCGCCTCGCGACGTTTGCTCGATGACCATGGGGATGAGGCCATAAGATCTCATTTGGGTTGGGTCCAGGGTTTGGAGACGGGACTTGGCTCCAATGGCGGATCTTAGTGCTGCCCTGAACATGGCGAGGCAGCTTTTTCTTTTCTAGGGTTTTGGAGAAGGGGGGTTTCTAAGAGAGGATTAGATGGGGTTTTGTGAGGGTTTTGGTTTTGCACAGGGATGGGGAGCGCTCCAAATTGGCGCGGGCCTCGAATGTTTTATATTTTCTTTTGCCAAATGGCGCGGTTTGCAGGGAGCCGAGTCTCTAAACAATCAAATTAGAGCCCACCTTCAAAGAGTGTCGAGAGAAATGTGGTTTCGGAAGGGTGTGGTTTTGTATAAAACTTAGGCTCTAAACAATCAATTAGAGCTTACTTTTAGATAGTGCAAATAAATATAGGTTTCGATATTGAAAATCTTTGTGATAGCCTTAAAATATATTTTTATCTTTATTTATAAAGTTTAATGTTTCAAAAATAACATAGATCCATGTATTTATAAAAACTTAAAAATCTTGAAAATTGACGATCCACAAAATGCATTACAAAATTCAATATTTTCAAAACTTGAAATCCATTTTTTTTTTTATGTCTATGTTTCTTGATATCGAGATGATCAATTTGAAGATACTTGGGCATCAAAACAATCTCTTCTAATGAAATTTTTGAGGTCGGCTCTAATTTGATTGTTTAGAGCCTCGGCTCTATATAAACTTTTTCATATTGGAAATATTTGTGATAGTTGTATAGATCCCACGCTCTAAACAACCAAATTAGAGCCTACCTTCAAATAGTATTGAGAAATGTGGTTTTAATATTGGAAATCTTTGTAATAGCCTTAAAATATTTTTTCATATTTTTTATAAAGTTTAAAGCTTCAAAACTAGCATAAATCGACTGATCTATGGAAACTTGAAATTCTTGAAAATTGACGGTCCAAAAATATGTTACAAAATACACTATTTTCAAATTTTGAAATCCATTTTTTCTCATGTCCATGCATCTTGATGTCGAGATGATCGATTTGAAGATATTTGGGCATTAAAATAACCTCTTGTAGTGAAATTTTTTATATAAGCTCAAATTTGATTGTTTAGAACCTAGGCTCTATGTAAATATATAATTTTTTTTTTAATTATAAAATTTAGAGTTTCAAAAATAGTGTAGATTGAATAAATCTATGAAAACTTGAAAATTGACTCTACAAAAATGTACTACAAGATGCACTATTTCCAAAACTTAAAATCCATTTTTTTTTCATGTCCATACATCTTGATGTCGAGGATGATCAATTTAATGATATTTAGACATCAAAACAACCTCTTCTAGTGAAATTTTTGAAGTAGGCTCTAACTTGACTGTTTAGAGACTAGGCCCTAAATAAACTTTTTCCTTTGCCAAAATATTTTAGGGTGTGGTTTGCACAAGACTGCAACCTTAAAGAATCAAAGTAAGGCATACATCAGAGCTTCATGACAATATATGATTTTGGTGTTGAAAATATTTAGGATGGCTCGAGAATTTATTTTATATTTAATTGTAAAATTTAAAACTTCAAAAATAGTTAAAATTAAGCAAATCTATAAACATATGAAAATATTAAAAATTGACAGTTTAAATAATGTATTGAAAAATGTAATATTTTTAAAACTTAGAATCTTTTATTTTTTTAATATTCATACATCTTGATGTCAAGTTGATCAATTAGATGATTTTACAACATCAAAACAGCCTTTTTGGATGTGACTTTGAGGTGCACTTTCATTCTACAATTTAAAGCGTCAACTTTTTATAAACTTTTACTACCTTTGGTAAAAAGTCCCATAATTCTAGGATCCCATATTTTGGAAATACAATCTCTTCAACCTATGGACTAACCTTAATGAAAAAAAGTTTATGAATTGATATTTCTAAATACTAGGAAAAAATAATATCTCGGATTAAGTAGCGACCAAACAATTTTTGAGGGGCCAAGATCTAAAAAGTGCCTAAAAATTCAAAACTCAAAATTCGAACTTTTGTTCTTTTGGAAATGATCATTAAGTGGGTTTCATGTAGTTCCCTAAATTTCATTATGCAACTCCCAAGTAGGTCTTTTGACATAGGGAGTAAATGCACAATATGTTCTTATAGGAACATATTATACTCTCCCATTTTTTTAAAAACATAATAAACATTAATTATTTGATAAATTAAGTATATTTTGATGAATTTATTTGAATTTCAAAGAGAAAATAGGAAATGAAGAATGTTACCATAATTAGCAAATCGCCATTTAATCGGCGGTATTTTCAAAAAATCGGAGTTTTTATGGAAACAGTTTTAAACGTCGACTTTTTGAAAAGGTTGGAAAAAATGGCGTAGTTGTCATAAAAACGTTTAAAAAAGACTTTATTCATAATACGATTTAAATC